GTCATTTTCTTAAAGGGTAAAGTTGAATTTCTTACTAAAGGATAAGGGTACTCGACAAATAAAGTTTCATGACGTTAACTGCCAAAATACTATTGTACCTTTGTAAAAAAAATTAATTTGCCCTTAATGATTAGCTTACCTATTAAAATAATTTTTTAAACAAAAAGTAACTATTTTTTCAATAAATATACTCTTCACAACTCATTCTAATATTAACTTTTATATTTTGAGGGGTTGTTAACTCTAGACAAACCCATACACACACACATTTAGGTTGTTAACTCTAGACAAACCCATACACACATTTCGGGTTTGTGATTTATCTCTGAGTTGCTCATGATATATATATATATATATATATATATAAATAACCTTGCTTGTCGCTGTTTTTGAGGTTCTTTGTTTTTTTTTTTTTTGTGTGCGCTTGTCTTGGACTTCAATCTTATTGTCTCATCACAAAATTTGTCTGTCGTAAATGTTTTGGTTGGGCATTGTATTCAATTTAACTTCTAAGCCATAGTTTTAAATGTAGTTTATTTTTCTTGGGCTTTTCTTTTCCAGATTTTCCAACCCTTAGCAGCTCATCTTGGTTGGATAAGATAAAGGAGACCTTCCAATCTGTACTGAAAGCAATTAAACTGTCAAATGATCCAGTGGATAAATCAGGTGTCGTTCTTGGAAATTTTCAAGTAGATTGTGTTTACTGTTATTTATTGTTATAAAAGTGAAAATGAAAAAATCTGTTATTTGTTGCTATAAAAATGAAATGAAAAGAATTAATTCTGTTTTACATGATTATCATCCTGAGACCTGGACTAATGCAGAGGCTTCCCGTGTTCGCAAGGAATATGATGATTACAGTAAAAAGTTGTCCAAAATACAATCAAGAATATCAACTTTGAGTGAAAAGTTGAAGCAAGATTTCGGTTAGTATATTTGTCTTAAAGTGGGTAATTACAATTTGTTGCTGTGCATGTCCTGGTTTAAGGGGATGCATGGTTTGTGAATCATTTATATGTTATGATTAATCTAATAAGTCCATGTCCGTGCTTCTTGAAACTTTTCATTACATGTCAGGGCCTGAGAAGGAATTCTTCTCGTTCTACAATCAATGCTTTGAGAGCAAACAGAACAAGTAAGTACCTTTTAACTTGAAGTCCTTTCAAAGGAAATGCATTCAATTTCCTAGGACCATGAATGAAGCAATTCACAATGTATATATTTTGCTGAATTTTATCAGGTATGTCTACAAGGTGTGTCCGTATAAACAAGCTTCCCAGGTAGAAGGCCATAGCACCACTCAGCTAGGGTAAGTTCTTCTTGATATTGTTGTTCGTTCTGTTGTTAAATTTAGTTTTACAGTTGACACTATTAATTTAAAAACAAAAAAAAACTTTTAAAGCTGATTGAAATAGGAGAGGAAGAACACTACAAAACTGGTGATCCCTCCCATGGTAGATTCCTCTCCTGGTTCTTTTTAAGTTGAAATTTGGGGAAAGGGAAACCTCACACCAATAATATACTTGAACCTCAGTTATCACAAAAATAAATAAATAATGATAATAATAATATAGTTTCTGATCTACCAGGTATTCTGTCTGAAAAAACTGAGTTAAAAGGTTGGGATATTTTAACCCATTGGCGTGTATCAATCTTTGGCTGGTTACTATTCATTTCTTTCTTTGTGTGAATTATAAATTGAAATGAATTACTGCTAGATTTAGAAAATGATCTATCAGTAGCCTATGTGTTTTTTGACTTCTATCAGGAGATGGGACAAATTTGAGGAGTCATACAAACAAATGCATTTTTCAAATGGAGACCACTGTTGGAATGGACCTGACAGAAGTTTGAAGGTAGCCGATATCTTATATCATCTAAAGGAGGGGAATTTTTGGAAATTTTGATTCAATGTCTGGTTTCTTGTCAGGTCAAGCTTAGGTGTGGCTTGAAGAATGAGCTCGCTGATGTCAATGAGCCAAGCCGTTGCGAGTGAGTTTTCATCACCTGGTGAAAATGATATTTGATCTCTCTCTCTCTCTCTCTTTCTCTCTCTCTCTCTCTCTCTCAGAAATGTATTTATGCATGCACGAACAGATACGTTGCAGTGTTGTCCACGCCCTCTGTATGCCTAGAAGAAAGATTACAGGTAACTTGTACTCTGCAAAAATCAAAGCCTCAAATTCATCTCCTTCGTTTTCTCTAACGAAATGATCAATTTCACCAAAATCATGCCAGGACTTGCGAAATAAACTGGAAGCCATGAACGCTGCCCGAGCTCAAAGCCACGATGAACTTTAACTGCCCAATATCGACAACCATCAAAACACACTGAGAAGGCGGGCCTCTTGATCTTTATTGTCTCTTGGATTGCATGGTGAATTGAGAAACTTTTTGTATTCTCTATCTCACGGTTATTTTTGTGTGACCGAGAAGCTCGAAGAGGCCGCTCGATTCGGAAGTTAGCAAATGCACTTTTAAGTTATGGTTCAGAAGTTTTGCAGTGTTCAGTGATGAGCAACTTCACATCCCTATGGAAAAGGATGACCCATAAGTTGTTTAAGTAACATGATGTGGTCTTTGATCCTTCTTTCGTTGGGTCTCTTTGTATGTTACTTATGTTGGCCCATGATTGGTTAATGTAACTACAAAAAATAGAATAGGAAACAATTGAGCATAAACATGCAAGGGTGCTTTAATTTAGTTTGAGTTCATGAGAGAGAACTCCAAAAGTCTAATCGGAGATATTTTTATGGAGAGGAGCTTCTTGAAAATCAATAGAGAGATTTTCAAGAAATAAATTGCCTACCACAAGGAATCAAAGCTATCTGAAACGGTTAAAGTTTCGATCTGCTCAATGGAATAAATACAACCGTCCAATTTTACATACAATGGTCAAGATTAATTGTGACTACATTGTACTAAAGATAAATGGTCTCATTGTATATTATAACATGCTATTTAGATCATCTATTTTAACTTAAAAATTTGTGTTTATGGATTTGTACTATCTTTTGAGCGTTGAATTTCATAGTATTTCATAGTCAGTATGGGAAATTGATTTTAGAGCCATTATGAAGATTCCTAATTCCCAAATGGTTTTCTCGACCAGGATTTGGGGGTAAGGCTTTACTTTGTTTTCATAAAGCCTAGGTCTTAAAGAAACTGCATCCTTATTTGACTATTACAAATACGGTGGGGTATACAATTGAACACGTTCTCAAAATGAATCTTCACCATGAATCATCGCCGCAGAGAATTTAACCAATATTACGCTACCCTACATGTTCAATGTTTAAAAACCCGAATCGGTTGGGTGTACCGGCCATCAAGAGGTTAGTTCTAGATTGATATATCATTGATTCAAATTTGGCAATCTGGTCGAGAGAATCGACAATAAAAATAAAAAATAAAAAAGAGGGAACAAGGTAATCGGTCTGGGTTGGATAGCTTGGTTCCTTGACAAAATTACCCAGTTTTATAAGTGAACAGTTTTAGATAATTCCAAGATCAAATCGGACGATTTCAGTTCGATTCGATGATTTTTTAAACTCTTGTGCGGCTACAAATGCATGCAAAGTCATAGTCATCGTCATCATTACCATCATCATCCATACCTTATCCCAACTATTTGGGGTTTGCAACACGAGTCATTTTCTGTTGTTTTAGGGCCATACCCTTAATTAGACTATAAGTCATTAGGGCTTTTCTCACTACTTCTATCTATGTCCTTTTGGGCATCATCCTTGCCTATTTACAGGATTTCACTCGAACCAAATCATCTCTCAGAACCGGTGTTGTTCTAAGTCGACGTTACATATGGGTAAACCGCATAAGTCTATTTTTCGCCATTTTATCATCTATTAGAGCTACCTTAAGTTCATGTGAACATATTGTTTCAAATTCTATTCTTATTATTGTGCCACCCATCCATCTCAATATCTTCATCTCGAGTACGACTCATTCTATGGATATATTATTTCTTGATTGCCCAATATTTTATCCCATAAAAACATGGTTGGTCTTACAACGATCATATAGAACTTCCTTTTCAGTTTCATTGGTAGGAACGATTATATTAAGACTCCATAAACACATCTCTTTATCTAAGGGTGTGGTTTATATAAAGCATCCACCTTAAACAATTAAAGTGCGCCTCTAAACTCAGTCGAAAGTTGTGATTCTTGAGTTAGAAAACTCTTATGATGGCCTGAAATTTGTTTCCACCAATGCTTATGGAATTTAAAGCCCCAAAACTGGTGCACGTGGAGGATATCCATAAACGCTTGAAAAACTTAAAATTGTACAATCCCAATAATATATTATAATGTGCACTATTTTAAAGTTTTGAAATTCTTCTTTTTTATATTCATACATGTCGAGATGGTCAATTAGAAAGCTTTTTAGTGCCGAAACAACATTTTTCGATGGATTTTTTAGGAGTGCTTCACTTCTACAGTATTGACATCTTATTATAAACATTCCATTCCATTAAAATGCACCCAACTTTTCAACAATTTAACATCTTACCCATTTTTAGTTATTCCAACTTGTGGTTATGTGTAATTTAAAGGATTTTAAAATTAAATCAAAAGAAAAACAAATGTTAAATAATTTAATTTCTTATGTAATTCCAATAAATTTACGTATTTGAAAATTGATCCATGTCATTCAAGATTGTTTGGAGCAAATTCTGGTCATATTTGATATCTTATCCCCACTATTTGGGGTAAAAACTACATGAATCATGTTCCATCCATCGTACTGTTCTATCAAGTGCAATACCCTCAAATCAAATCATATGTCTCTCCTCACTACTTCCATCTATGACATTTTGTGCATTCCTATACTCTTTTAGAGCCTTTCATTAACTAAATTGTCCTTTTCATTAACTAAATTATACTTCTTAATCAATATTGTATTAAGTACCCACCTAAATCTACTCTTTTCAAATCAATAGATCCGGTCGGAATCCCTCGATCAAAATCGAGAATTGATTTTCAACTTATGTTATTTTATTTTTTGCTTGAGTCTCTACACGAGACCATTGATCCACCAAATTAGGGCCGGTTTTTTAGATTGGCGATCCTGATCAACAAACGTCATTTGTAAACCTTGTGTCATCATGTTTGATATCTTATGTAATATGTCCAATTTATTTGTGTTTTTGGTAGATCAGTGGTAGGAATCGAAGTTGAAACGTAGCGTGGTTAGGCATCAACTGCTAACCACTTAAGCCGACCCTCATGTCATATTTCCATTTGAAAATTGATCTATGTCATTTTAAAAATAGGTTGGGTTAGTTATGGTCATCTTGTCGATATATAAGGGCCATCGAACCCGCGGAGAAGCTTGGTGAGTGGCGTGGAAGGGGGTGTGAAAGCTTGCTCTGTAAATTTTCAATCGATCCGGACAGGTTTGAACCCTAATTTATCTGTCTTCTGCACTGCTTCTTCCCTCCAATGCTTTACTGGCTCATTCTCATGATTCGATGGTTTTTTCTTTCTAGGGGTGGAACAGGAAGAATCCCTTGCATGATTGTGTGGATACTCAAGTTCTAGAGAATTCAATGGCGTTCAAGCTTGGTCCAATCAATTTCAATGCAGTTGCTCAGGTATTCAACTCTTCCTCTTTCTCTCTATCGCTCTAAAATTCTCTCTCTCTGAAACTCTATTTCCCTTTATTTGATTGTGGTGTGGCTTGAGACCCAGTTGATTTTTTCGTAATCAAAGCTACTATTTTGTTTTTTGATTTTTAACATGATTCCAAGTTCACTAGCAGTGTCTGCTCCATTTGTGTAATCCGAATACATGCATTGTTTTGGACATGTAATTTGTGTGCTTATTGTTAATAAGATGAACATCGAATCACATGATGTGTCTTGGTATCATTTGGTTAACATTTTTTGTTTGAGAAATATATTGACTTTATATAAATGGTAAATAATTTACAAGGAGCTTAATCTACGGATGGCAGCCCACAGATTGGGTGCTCAGACTATAACAATTAAATGATAATGTAGAACCAGAATGTTAAACAGGGAAGGGGGGCTACTAAACAAAGAAGCCAAACTAGGTGATCCAAAAAATTTATAATGGAACTCAGGGTAGACAAGGGTGCTTCTGTTGGTCAATGGCTCGAGCTTCCAGCGGGTGTAAATTACTGCAAGGTTGTTTCCTGTGTGCTGACGGCTCCACTGAGGTATACCCAATGACCAAGAGAGGGGGCAAGGGAAGAAGTAGTGTATTGTGTGTTGTCATCCGATCTTCAAACTTTCCTTCCTCTAGGGGTCGATGGTCAGCATACCACCAGATACTGAATCTGCGAGGGAGGAGGGCAGGGTAGAGGTTGTCGGCTTGTCCTGCATACAACACTCTCCTCTGCTTCAGCTAACCACTATTCTGAGGACCACCTAGGCTTCCTCTGCGGCCACAAGTCAGCCGGACCTAAAACGTCTCAGTGAGAATAGAGAGGGGGGGGAAGAGGGGGGGGGGGGGGGGGAGAGAGGAGTAAACTGAAAGTGAGAATAGAGAGGGGGGAAGGGAGGAGGGGGGGGAGAGAGGATAAACTGAAAGTGAGGATGGAATAAAAGAGAGAAAAATGAGGGGGAAACAGAGTGATAAGTTGAGGAGGAGAGTTAGGGAGAAAAGCGGGAGAGAGGTAGGGGAGGGGTGTAAGACGAGAGAGGGGGTGGTAGAGAAGCAGTGAGATGAAGAGGGAAGACCCAGATAAAGAGGGAGAGGGGGAGAAGATTGAGAGAGAAAACCATAGAGAGGAGGGAAGAAGGAGAGAGCCCTAGAAGGGGTAGAAATTGGGAGAAGAAAAGAAGAGTAGGGAGGAGGGCGTAGAGACTTAGAGATAGAGAGAGAGAAGGAAATCCATTTTCCCCTTTATATATTTTTGTATTTTCTTCCTTTTTTTTCCCCCTGTTTTTTCATTTTCTCGTTTTTTTTTTTTCCCCTTCTACTTTTTCCTTTTTATTTTTTCTTCCCCATTTTTTTTTTGTTAATCATGGGATAATTTTTGACATTTTTGTTGATTATATTGATCAAAGTGATTACTTTGAGTTATTTCATTTATTTTTATGTTTTCAATGGATGAGGAAGAACTTTATTAACACTATAAACTTGATCAATAATGATAATATTGATAACTTGCTTGACTCCATTTATGCATTGTTGCTTGAAGCTTTGGACCATCTTAATTTATTTGTCAACTAGATGATTAAGAAAGTCCTACCTAAAAAGAAAATGAAAACATGGAAACTTTAGTCTCCTCAACAATGTAATTGTCGAGGTAAGAGGTGTCAATTTAAAATTAGTTAATTATTGCAACATGTCAAATTATTTGATAAGCAAAGATTGTCAATTAAGTTGGTATTTAGGAAGGCAGCATGATAAATGTCTTATGAGAATAAAAGTAGTAGGTAAGATTATGGTTTTGCTTATAGTTTCTTATTTCTTTTTATGTCTTGATTGTTGGTTCTGAAAGGGGCCTTGGGTAGTGGCTTAGCATAGAAGAAATTATTGATTGAATCTTGTAAGGACATAGTCCCCTAGAAGTGGCTCTCCATCTAGTGAGATTTTTTTGATTTTCTAACCTATTCTTGATTTTCACTTAATCATTTCCTGGTTCTTTATCTTGTGTTCCTTTATTGTGTTCATTCCAAACAACATACTTCTTTGTACAGTAATAATCTAATTATGATAAAATGTCTTTATACTTCTAAGTGGAAAAGGAAGTCTCATTCTATTGTAATTAGTGTCATCTTCTAGGGATCTAGTTCAAATCCTATTGACATGGAAATTAAATTGGCCTTGCGGGCATTACCTCTCTCAATCTCTGAGAGCACTGCATGAAATGATTGTCTAGGTAATTGGTCAAAAAAAAAAAAAAGAAGAAAGAAAAAGGGATTGTCCATGTCACCTTACCATCAAATTTCACTCTATTGTAACTATGATGACGGCTTTCCATGTCTCTCTTGTTTTGATATATGGGAACAAAAGTATCATTGTTATGTATCCTTGCAGAAAAAGGGGAAATTTACATAAATATCCTATTTTATTAGAACTAGAAAATAATTTCAATATTTAAGTATTTTATGCAAAGGTCCCTTTTTTTGTCCTTTTTTTTTTTACTGAAATACCCTCCATTCCTGTAGTTGAAGTGTCGGACTTAATCCTAGATGTTATTAGGACCAAGGTTTTGATCCTCTTAATCATTGGCTAATCAAATAATTAAATGACTTCTAACCGTATGTTCAAGATTTGTTCACCTATGATTAGGCATTTATTTAATTTTTCCTTGCTTATGTGTAATAATACAATGTGAGATACCAATTAAATATTCTGTTAAATTATTTTTATACCTTAAATAGAGTATTTGTTGAAATATTTGTCTTGGATGTTGATTGGTTCTCTCAAAGTTTAAGTGGTTGGTTATTTTAACTGTTTGGAGAGAGACACAAAGGTGGTTGGGCCTGTTGGACATCCTATGAGTTTATCCCTTGGATGAACAATGGTCCTAAAGTACGTCACTAGAGAACTAAAAGTACTACTTATGAATTAAAAATGCATGCTCCATATTTTACTCCTGAATGCTGATTGCTTATTAGAAACTCATGTACATTTTTCCGTATTACTATTGCCCATTTAAAATAACTCTACGAATATATACATGCATTTATACTTGTCTGTAGGTTGGATAAGTATCAATTTTGAATCTCTACCCTTCAGATTGACATTGAGAATTCTATATCTTTTGGCTATGGTTCTCAGACCTTGGGATACACACACACACACACACACAACATATGCATATGCACAAACACCTATAGAATAGATACTCTCTGTGTGGTGGCAGGTGGGTTTTGGAATCTGTTTTCTTCAATGACACTCGAATCCTATTTCAGATATATTTTGATGTTGGCATTTGATGCAACCCAAAATACTGCTCTGGAGTATCTAGATAAAAGAGACAAGCTTAAAGTTTACAAGAGGAATTATTGAAGGACAAACTAGTCGTAGAAGCTGTTCTTTTATATCTTTTATTTATTATCGAGTCATTTTATTTACTTAGGGGCATAAGTAGTAATTCCTAGAGTCTTTTCTGTCTTTTTATTCACTTAAAGTCTTTTATAATAAATGGCCATGATTAGACCAGATGGATGGCCATGATTAAATCTTGTTTAGGGTTTTCTTATACAAGGGATGTACTCAAGCATAAGGAAGCATCTTGTTATGGACTTCATTCAAAACCCTAGAGAAGCAAGTGTGTCTTCTTTTACCTCTGGTTTTTTAATCTTTCTCTACTTTTGATCTTCCCTCTCTTCTTCTTTGCTAAACCCTAGCTCTAAGCTACAGGGCTTGCGTCAACGTTCCTTGACACATGGAAGCATTCTTTTTTTTTGTTCGGCAGTTTTGGGGAAAACGTCTCAAGAAAGGTTACGATAAGGGCCTTCTTTATTGTCTAAGCAGACATGCGCTTCTTATTTGGATTTTTGGAGTGCTTAGAGCATCTCCTTTACCAGTATGACTTGTTGGCCTGTATTTTAATCTTTGTTGCAGATCTATTTGGACTGCTTCCTTCCCTTTTGTAGAATGAACATATTCCCTAAAGCAATGATTAATTTGAATGGATGATATTACTGGTTTAAAAAAAAGGAAATTTTAAGCTCATGTATATTGAATAATAAGGAAAATATTTTGGGGAAGAGTGTCCAAAAAACTGAATCTGTCTTGTCCTCCTGCCCTTCCTTCCCGTCCGCCCAATCCTCCTCCCTAGCCTTACCACCCTCCACCCTCTTGCAACCTCTCCTCTTCCAACTCCTGACCCTTTAAGAGCTCTTCCTCTTTCTACCCCCCACTTACGAAATCTATGCATAACTCCTCCAACCACAGAAGGCTCTCCATCTAGCGTCTGATTATCTTACTCTTTACTCTTCGCCAGTTGCCCCCAACCTTCAGTCCCCCTCTCCTCCTCTCTCTACAACTTTTTCTATCCCTGTGGGCAGCAAACATGTTACCTTCCTAGAAAATGCATTGAGACTCGTGCTTGTGGGAAGGTTCTAGCCTCAACGAAATGATGTTTAAAGGGATTTAGAGGTGGGCTGCAGAAACGTGGGACGTCTCAGAACTTTCCTATTGAAAACTATCCTCGGGGGATTTCCTATTCCCCTTCCCCTCGAAGGAACCTTTGCTTAAAACTCTAGGGAGCCACAACACTTGTTTCTAAGGGGCGACCCTTTCTCTCTCTCACTGGAATAAGGACATGGGTGTTGCAAAACCACAGAAGGTCAAGCTGTTAGCCTCCAATATCCCCCTCCAGGCATGGAATACTGACACATTTAAGAAGATTGGCTAGGCTTGCGTCAAGTTTATCTCGGTTCACTGGACTTCCGCTGCTTCTCTTCCTCTCGGCACCATTTGGCTCCTAGTTGAGGCCCTAATCCCAGCCATCATTCCCCAAATCCTGTGGCTTGTGGTTGAAGGCCTTTATGTCAGAGTCTCGGTTACTTGGTCGTCTGCATCCCCACCATGTTCATGATCACGACGCATCAGTGCGTGGACCACAGTCCATGGAACATAGGCGGTCTACCATGTTCCTCATGGTTGG